CTGACTTAAGCACAACCCGTAAACAAGAACAACACAAATGAGAAGATCATGAACAACAACAACACCCACAACTGTTCCGTGTTGGTAATGTACGTGAAGAACTCCAGGTGCCCTAACTTTCTTTCTATTCAATTGCATAAAATTAATTACAAACCCTAACTGCTGCCAATTTATCCCCAATTAAATAAACCCAATTTCTAATTAAAACCCAATTTTAAAATCAGCTGCCCTAACACCACGTAAGCACGCACAAAATTGCATGTTGACACCTAACCAGTGACTACTGCCACATCATCATCCCATTAACTCTGTTTTCTTATATTTAACGGAAGTGACTAATTTGACTCACATAATTACAAGTAAGGATCCATTACAATTACTTTTCTAAAGAGGGACTAAATTGAGATTTCCGAACCAAACTGGGGACAAAATTGGGTATTAAACCTTGATTGAATATACTGTAAAATTGTATATATACATGTTTTAAGCACTTGAACGATGAATATTCTATTTTCATTTTTAAATGTTAATAGTTTATTTGAAGTTTGTAAAGATTGAAAATCTTGAGTTCGTTTGAATTTGACTACCTGAAGATGAAGAAATGGAATTTGAGAGTTTTAAGATTTATACATGTCTATTATTAGTCCTTTATAAACCTTTAAGAGTGGTGAATTCGAGTAGATATTAAGGTTTTAATGCCTTTTGTTAAAGGTGGAAAGAAAGTTGTTAACTAGTTAGGAATGTTTTTCTAAGGTTTAATGTTTCGGTAGGTTCTTTTTTTCGACCAAAATTTTAAATAAGTTTCTTATTTGTTTTCTCAATTTGGTCCTTATTTTTGAAAAAAAATGAAACAAATAGAGGCTTGTCGTCAAATTGGACAAACGCAGTTTAAGTGGTGTGTATGTGGCATGCTGATTGTCTTTTTTGAATGATGTGGCATAGTTTTTGTTGTAATAACATAATCTGATGTGGAATTTTATAACTTTTGAATTAAAAAAGTTGAATTAAAAAATTGGGAGAACTTACCCCTTTCTTTGAAAAAAAATAGGGGGAACTTACCCCTTTCTTCTTCAAATTAGGGTTCCTTCGTAAGGTTGATGTTTGAAGAGATTTGGGACGAAGGTGTTGGATTCTCTGATTCATGGATCTCTCGCAGTAGATGGAGGTTGGAAGGATTCACTCACGGAGGAGATTGAACGACGTTGTTCGAATGGGTTGTTGTTGTTTCTGGTTCTGTGATTCTGATTTCTCTTTACAGGTTGGATCGTTATCTCTATCGCGACGACCATGGAGGTTGAATGATTGAACTGTGATGCGATTTAAGTTTCGCGAAGGTGCTAGTGTTGATGCGTCAATGAAGGATGCGTGAAACTTAGGTTCGCCATGGTTGCTGACTTTGGGTGGCTCATGATTTGGATTCATGTGGGAGCAATGGTGATGAACGAAAAAGATGATGATTGTCGAACTAGGTTTCGTAATTAGGAGTCTCTCGCGTCTTTGTGGTTTGCGCATGGTGGCCATGGCTGGTGGTTGTGGTTGCGCGTGTAAGTTGAGACGAAGTGGTGGTGTCCTCACGGTTGAGGCGCGACAACCATCTACTTCCTCTTTCACCATTGATTGACGTTTAGTGAACCCTAAACTCTCGAACAAAATCCTTAATTTTCAGAAACAATGCATGGTGGTGAGAGTGATGAAGATGGTGGATGAATAGTGTTAATGGTGGCTGATGCACAAAAGGATTGAGGGAGGAGGATGATGACTGGTGAAAACCCTAATTTTAAAAAACAATTAAGTTCAATTAACTTTTCTTAATTTTTTTAATTTTAAAAAAACAAAAATCCACAAAGACTCAACTAAAATTATCTATAAATTTGCCATGTCATTTAAAAAATTAACATCAGCATCCACGTCAACATAATTCTAACGCCTGTTAGTCCAATTTGGTGGTAAGCCTCTATTTGTTTCAATTTTTCAAAAATAAGGACCCAATTGCGAAAACGAATAAGAAGAGAACCTATTTGAGATTCTGTCCGAAAGAAAGAACCTACCGAAACATTAAACCTTTTTTGAACGAGGAGAGAAAGAATAAGACAAAACAAGTAAAAGACTTTCCTACAGTGACATATTAAAGAAAACAAAAAAAATAAAATAAATTCTTTTGATAAGCCGAAAGAGAAAGAAAAATTTAACGAAAATAAAATATCTAATAAATTGTGGTCTACATAAAGGAAAAGTTGGGAAGAGATGTGACTAGAAGACAATACAAAAAATATTCTTGAAGCAAAATTTGTACTTATACATGTATTATATTTTAGTTTTCCTCCTTAGAGGATGTATTAAAGATACATCCTTAGAGGATTAGGAGATTATTTCCTTCTTATTTGAAATTCTTCCTATCTTATGAGGAGCTAAATCTCATTATGTTGGAGCATGATGTAGCATATTCAAAGTCTCTTGTATTTAGTGACACTTTCATTTATGCAATTTTCATTTGATTTAAAGTGGTTAATTGATTTGTGCTTGATTTTGGAATGAAGTGATCACTTATTCTATTTAACTGGCTTGAGGCGTAAAGACATCTAGTCTTGAGTTGTGGTCCAATCATTTTTCCTATGTGTTTCTCGATGAAATAGGCCATAGATGAGCAAGGAAAGATGTTTATGTAGAGTAGGTGTTGGATGTTGATGAGGTAGAAGTGTAAAATAGTATGTTGATCTTTTATTTATTTGCTTTTGAAAAACTTTTACATTTTTGGGTTTAGTCTAATATCATTTCTCAATAGTATAGAGACCTTGTACATACATACTTACATACATGCATACATGTATGTATGTATATATATATATATATATATATATATATATATATATATATTTCATGTTAACTACTTTCGTTTAGTATATGTGATGATTTAGTTTAGTAGTTTAAACTATTAAATTGGGATGTTATAGTATAAATAATAAGTCATCTTAATTTATTACTTGATGCAAAAATTTTAAAATAAATTTAAATTACTATATCAAAATATGGAAAAATCCATTACCTTGTCTTTAAGCACTAACTCTATTGAAAATGGAGGTTTTCGTTAGTCAAATTTGCAACAAACTACCTTGGTAAATACATTTAAATTCTCCTTCCTAAAACTGACTTTAAGAGAGTGAGTTTGTTTTTACAATATATTCAATTGAAAGTATTATATATAAAGAGAAACAACGTATCTATATATACATATAAATTTACTAAATGTGGATCCAAATATTAAAATCAATTAAGAGAGGAAATTAACATGTGAACAAAGGTCACGTGACCTTTCTAAAGAGGTCACGCCTTAAAAGGGGAGACAAACACACTATTTTTTAAGAGATCACATTACATATTTTATTTTCTTTTCCAGTTATTTTTTTATTTTTTTTAATTATTTTTGTTCAATTTTATGCTTACGACACATTTTTGTGTTCCTTTGTTTTGTACACTCTATATAGATAGATATAATTCCGAAAGGACAAGTTTGAAATTTTCAAATTTACAAAAGGTGTTGAGTAAAATTATGGGTGCAAGAAGAAAATATCTTATTAGCTTTTATGGTTCCGATTCAATCTCATTCTGGTTGGACCGAAAGAGATTATCAATCAATAAATAAATAAACTTATGCATAAATTAAAATTACTTTATATATTAGTATGTTTAGTTAAATTTTTCCGTACAAGTTAAGTTATACATAAAATTAATATTCAATTATAAATAATTTAATCTTTTTCTTTTAAGTTTTCATAGAAAAATTTGTGCAAATTGGTTTAACTTATCCTAAATATCATTTCATCTTTTAGTAGAAATGTCAATGAAGTTTGTACAAATATAAATAACTCCTTAATACCCATTCCATTAAAAGAATTAAACTCTTGCCAGAAAAGTTGTGCTACTTATTGTTGCAAAGTGTCAACAATACTATTAGGCAACGTACAAATTCTTTTATTAATTTTAATAAGATTAATCCAGTAAAACAAAAACGAATTAAAAAGTGAAATAGAGCAAAATCAAGCTGAAAGAATAGATAGGAACGTGGTGGAAACATATAAACAAGAGTTTAGAAATTTCTCTTATTAGGTAGTGGGAAAAAGACTATTCATTAAATTTTAATTTTTTAATTTTATTTTAAGAAAATTATTTATAATTTTTTAAGAAATCATATTATAGGAAAATTTTGTTTACTTTTTCCAGAAATTAAAAAAAAAATGATCTCGATTTGAAAGGTGTGATAAAGAAATACGCGTCATATGGCTAGATGTATTGTATATAAAATCTTGGCTCTACTTAAACTTTTAATTTTTTTCACTTTTTAGTTATAAAAATGTCATTTTAGTTTCAAGTTTTTTTTGGTTTGCTTTTAGAGAATAATAGAAAAAATAAATAACGAAAACAACTTAATTTTGTTAAATTTTTGCAATTCTTTGGAATCATATTGAAGACAAAACAACATCAAACACATTACACTAACACAATTTCCCAATCAATAAATTTATTTATTGTTTAGATTTTGTTTGAATAAACTTCAGCATAAACATTCCTTGAGCAGATAAATGAGAAAAAAAATATTTAAATTTAAAATTAATTTATAAATAAACTAAAAGTAGAATTTTTGAAAAATTATATAAAAGAAGCTTTCCAAAATTAATTGTGCATAAAATAAAGAAACTTGTCCAAACTACTGCGTAAATTAGTATAGCAAGTCAGAAAGAAATGATGTATTGGTACATGTTGAATAGAATATAAGCTGCCATCAAAATGCATAGTATCCTAATCTATACATGGGACATTGAATATACAAATTTTGTCTAATTACATGAAAAGAGTTGACAAAATTATACATCTAAAATGTGTGCTATACACATGTCAATGCCAAGAGGCCAAATATTACAATTTACAATCTTGCTAATTTGTTTATATGGAACTGTTGAATTGAGCCACTTAAGATGCCATCTCAGGCACTTGTATATGTGACTATAGCATAGGGAAGTTTACATCATCACATCACAAACATTCAAGTATGGTTAGTGCCAAAGAACTTAGATTAGAAGGCTTTTGAATTCTTGGAAAAGAATCATGCAGCAGAAATTGCCTAGTTCAAGCACTTTGTGATAACATCCTTCACAGTGAAGGAAAGAGAGCTTACACAGTTGGAGAACACAGAGCCATTTTCCTCATTGAAGAACATCAAGACCCCCCTCCTGTTATAAAATCAGACAGCTTGTCATTGCAGGGACAAAGAATGCATCAAATTTCATCCATTTTTTTCAGGAAGCTGTTTTTCTTTTGCAAACTATATGACTGTTCCCTTTTATAAAACATGGTTAAAAGTTGTACTCTCAGCAGCTTCTGGTTGTGCTCAAAGGGTCATAGTCGTAGACGTCGCCGGCTTTCACAAACCGGCCCTTCACACGCCTTCTCACGTCGGCCCTTGCCTTGCGTGAGGCATACCGCACTTGTTTTTCAAACCTAATGAGATGACAAAAAAAGATGTTCAATCATTCAAACAAATCCTTCAGCTGCCAAAGTCTTTAACCAACATTGATTCTCTTGAATGAAAAGCAAAGCAAATTGAGGCAGTCACTTACTTTCGTGCCTTCTTCTTTTCCTTGTAACGCAAGACAGCATTGCTGCGGTTGGCAGATTGTAAGGAATTCTCAGGACAAGGAGCAAACCAAGGAGGTTCTCCCATGAGAAGCATGGAAGAAGCCCCACAGTCTTGATAGTCTGCAGCACTACTTTCTCCGGTAATGCCAGAAAAAGAAAGGTTTGATTGTGCTTGCCTCCCCGTGAAACAAAGAATCGGTTCGGTTTTAGTACTCAAAATGGAATCTGCAGATGCTGCGTTGCTGCAAGCTGGTTGTGTTGCATTGACCAGTCCAACCGATGACCCCTGGACATAAAGTTAGATCTGAAATTAGGTATGACATGAAAGAAATGTTAACCAACACAACCCCCCACAGAAGAAATTAAAATGCTATGTCTAGTGCAACTAACAATGTAATCATGCATCACATCACACTGTACACTGAACATCTCATTCTTAACATTTGAATGCATGTACCAAAAGTAACATAGATCTAAGGAATGAAAATAAAATGATATTTTGTGTTACTTCTTTAACATCATGCAAATATCCAGACAATCAGTATTTAACATCAGCACTTTGATTGATTTTGTCATCTCATCACCCAATCCTCCTAAAATCATAAGATCCTAAATGCTGGTGGAGGCTCAAGAATGGTTCTTATATCTAAGTCATTCCTCGCCTAGGAGCTCTTTGACCTTGAAGTATGTGGTAAAGTTCGGCTTTTATTTTTAAGAATGGGGACAACATTATTTGAACTCTTGTTGTTGACCACCTGGTCATATACACTTTGATGCCATGTCAAGGACCAGCCAACTCTCCTAAAAGCCTAAGCTGATTAATGTCTCAGCTTGATCAATTTTCAGAAGAATTATCAAGTTAACAAGATTGTGTCCATTGAAAGAAAATTGAGAGAAATAAGACTAATTTAAAGTATATATATATATATATATATATATATACACACACACACACACACACACATATATATATAGGTATAATCCTTACCTTATAAACTAATTTTGTGAAGTTCAATTAGACTTAAAGTTCAATTAGGCTTAAAGTTCAATTAGGCTTAAAGTTCAATTAAGCTTAAAGTTCACTTTTTAACAATAATAATCATGAATGAAGTAATCAAGGGGGTAATTAGAAGCTAACAAATGGCATCGAGCAGATAATTAGTTGCTACGTTTAGCCTAATCACCATCAAATAACATGTTTCACTTGATCATGTGCTAACACTGTATCATAAATGCTGACATTTAAACATTGAGAACGAAGCCACTGGGTTAACCTAACGTTTCAATCTTTCTTCCTAAACAATGAAATTAGTAATTAAACTGCTAAATCAAGAAAAATCACATCCGAGAAGGATTAGGGGAGACTAAGAAAAAATGTATTAAAGATATAAGTTGCTCATGGCATACAACCACTACAATTGTCAACTTTTCACCATTTTCAGAAGTCCAAAGAACCACATGTCTACGTCATGTATAAGCTTAGCATCAATATTACTCAAATGCACATGAGAATTTCACATGCAAAGCCAGAAGAGATTTTTTTTCCTTCATTTTACCAGTCTTCTGACTCAATTACTACCATCACAACTCCACTTATCAAAGGGTGTAAATCAGGAACCATGTTGTTCAAGTAACTTCAGTAGAAGAGAGACAGAAGGTGGTGTAGCTCTACACCATCCAACAATTTCAACTTGCAAAGATTTATAGTGTAACGCAATGCATGATTCATATTAAAGCAGTTTTATGTTTTTCCAAACAGAAAAATAAAAATTGTTAGAGCTGGCTTGTTAACGTTTTTTTATTATAAAAGCAGCTCCAGAAAACCTGATTTCGAAATCAAGAAAAGCAGAACAATGTAAAGATGTTTTCATCGTGGGGAGTGGATACGTAAATAAGCCATAACAACTCATTATTCTTTCAGATCTGTTTCTGAAATCACTTGATGGAACAAAATTTGTGTTCCCTGTCATTCTTAAAAACAGTTTTCAAAAGCTATTTTGCAGAATAGTTTTGAAGAACGCAAAAGCAAAATTAGAATCATACACACCTATAAATTCTTGATCAAATAATAGTTCAAAGCTAATTAAAAACACAATAAAGCACACTTACAACACAACTTGCCCAAAAATCCCCATTACGAATAATGCTGAATATAGGCCCTATTTCTAAATCTTTATGATAACAGTTAAATCACAATGACATCTTTTAAGATTTGATTAAACTACACTTACACCCCCTGCTTTTTTTTAACTATTATAAAGGCCTCCCTTATCACAGGGTATAAGTGTAAAGCTTTCAAAATTTATACAGGGGTGCACATGTAATGAAAGAAGGGGTGACAATGTAATGTTTATGAAACAAATGGGAGATTGTATAGAATCTTAAGAAAAACTGGGGTAACAGTGAAATTCGAGAAAATCTCAGGAAGTGTCAGTGTAATTTCCTTATGCTAAAATATCCACATGATCAAGGAGAAAACAAATATACAATTGTGAATACACAAGATCATCACACAAGATCATCATATAACATATACAGAAACATAACATTTGAATCTGATGCCCCAATAGTAAAAAACAAAAACCATGATTATCACAGACAAAGGATGGGGAGAGTTTAGCACCTCGGCAGCAATAGCATCCTGACAACTGGAATCTCCGGCAGACATGTCCTTTGTCCCAAATAAACTATCAATTCCACCGTTTTCAAATAGCTCTTCGGAATGACTGAGGGCCATACCAAAAAGTTCTTCATAGTTCTCAAGATTTAGATCCACTTCATCCATGTCAAAATCATCATATAGATTGTCATCTTCACATAATGCAGGGCATTTTGTAGCAGGACAGTACAACTGCATATTGAAAATGAGATATTACAAAAGTAATATGATGAAACTATGAGAATTTTAACGTAGAACATTAAAATTGTGTTAATTCGTTTCAGTAAACAAGACTTAAATTGGAAAATCTGTACATGATGGCCCTTTAACTAAGCTAACCTAGTGATGACAGAAATATGTCTGCTTTTGTTTTCAATTCAACTTCAAGGTACCAATAAGTTAGGAAAACAATTAGTTTTGCAAAACCAAAACATACCTTGGACCAAGAAACAATAAAGTAACAAAAGCAAGTAGCTTTAAATACATCAATGGTTGTACAGAAAATGAAACAACCATAAAACTTGAGAATTGAACCAAAGGAATTATGATTCAACAAATAATTTTGCCATTGCCCTTGAGGATTCTATATGGAAACAAAATTTTAAATCCATCAAACCAATTAAGACCATGCACTAACTAATCCTTTTCAAACTTGCAATTACATTTCCCTGTGCTGCTGTTAGAAAGTACATTACACCAAGTGTTGGTGATGTTATTCATGAAGACAATGATGATGGCATCCCACTATACCTTTGGCAGACATTCATTGGCAGGTCCAGGTAGCTGGTCCAGATTACGGGTTTCGGAGCTTGACTCGGGTATTGAAGATGTACCAACGAAAGACCTGTCCAAAGCAGGTAGATCAGTAACTTGATCTGAAACAGACACATTCCCGTTTCCAGGTGGAACTCCAACACTCTCGCTGTTCTCATTAATACTCATTAAGCCTAGTTCTTGCTCACATGTAGACTCCCTAATGGAAGGGATATCCAAGACAAATGACCATATTGAAGACAGTTCCGCGGCTGAAGGGCAGCCAGAGTAGCAACTGATTCCTTGTCTCTTGTGTGTCGAAGATGTAGAGACTCCATGACCCAACCAATCACAATTCTGACACAGAGAAATTTTCTCTTCAACACACCTCACAAAGGCAGGTTGTGAATTGCATCTCTCACACAAAAGGGTGCGTGAATGACGCCTGGAAAGGGCATTAGCAGAATGAACATTCCGATCACAAGACAAACATAAGCATGCAGCATCAGAACGGCAGTACACCATGGATCTCTGGTCTCCACAAAAATCACATATATAACCCATCTTTAGACGTTTTTCTCTTGCCCCTTAGAATAAATCAAGGACTCTCCAGCTAGTAACAGTCTTAACAGACCAAGATGTACTCTGAATAAACACAAGTTCCCCTCCCTATCTGAAGATGCAGACGCTGAATTATGTCACATAATGCAGAAGCCATTAGATAATGTGACAAAGAAAACAGAATTTTAATGCTGTAAAACCAAATTCGAAAAATGTTAATAAGAACGGATAGACAGATAGATCGAAACATGGCGATGTTAGGAAAAAGAAAATGGAAATACTACTGCCAGTTCTGAAGAATCTGAGTAACGGTAAATATAGATTCTATGGAAGGTGATTTTACTAGACCAATATTATGTAAACTTGCAGCCAACACGAAAAAACAATAAATCAGATCAAAGCAATGAGAGCATGTACTGTCTGATTTATATTAAGGATTTGATGTGACACAGGAAAACTAAATTCTAACAAATCAGAGAAAATAAGTTCACCTTCATCACAAAACCATACAATAGAAAGTGATTCTTTCAGAATAATAGCAATAAACAACAAAAATTTCCAGAAACATGACTAAACTAACACAGAATCATATACCAAAATAAACAAAAAAAATCAAAAGGAGAATCAAAGACAACAAGAATAACGCATCTAATCCAATCACAACATACTAAAAAAATTACCAGTCTCTAAAAATTCTCAACGTCTTTCACTGCCTTAATCCCAACGAAAAGTCCCATGCCCAGAAAAACATGAACTTTAAAAACAAACAAAAAAAATCACAGAACAAAAACGTGGATTTCCACGCTATATGAGAAAGCAGAAGTGAAGAAAACTACCTGACGGCAAGGAAGACAAAGAGAACAAGATCAGTAAGCAAAAGGGTGTTGCTCTTTCAAAAAAAAAATATTTTTTTTATCTGTGCAAAACTTAAAAGCAAAGAAAGAGTGCTGGAAGTAGAAGCAGCTGAACTTTTTGAAGTGAACAACAGGCTCTTTCTCTCTCTTACTTTTTGTGTGTGTTTCTCTCTCCTCTCTTCTGTCTTCTGGTCTGCCAAGACTAGTCTGTTGTGTTGAGAAGTTGAGATAGAAAGAAACAGGAAGATAGAAGATGGATAAATGTAGATGAGATATGAAAAGAAAAGAAGAATAATGCAAATGGTGTGTGTGTGAGAGAGAGTGTAGGTAATATGACATAAGCAAAGGTGATAAAAAGTGCAAACAGAAAAAAAAAATATAATGCAAGTGGGCCCATGTCCTTTTCTCAATGAAAGGAAAAGGTTGGGCTTTCCCTTTTTCCTCTCTCCCATCACAAATTATAATTAATAAATATAACAATAATTATTATTATATTTTTCTCTTCTTCCCTCTCAATCTACCCGTGGGTCTCAGACTGTTTCATGATCTTCTTCCATTATTTTAATGTAAAGAAACTTCATAGATTTATTTCCACAATTACAAGTAAAAAAACAACTAAAAATATTAAAGTTTCAGTTTTATATTTTTTAAAAATAATATAATAACTTAATGTGTACATAAACATGAAGTGAAATAATCTATATGTATTATTGGAATAAATTACATTGAAATTTGTTAGATACTATTTTTTAATTAAGACCATTTTTTATTTAAAAAATGAAAAAGTTGTTTAAGGTTATAAAAACAAAACATAAAAAAGTAAGCCTTTATCATTCATTATATTTGTATTAAAGTGGTATGTGATAATATAATAATGAATACATAGTGATTGGAAGGCTGAAGTTTGCTAAAAGTGCATCACAGAGTGAGTCCTGCAAATGGATGTGTTACATGTTACCTTTTTCACTATCTTTTTCTTTCATTTTTTTTTGTTACTTATGAGTTGGCTTTTTCAGTATTTTTTATACTATTGCTTTGCTTGGTTTGGTACCCACAACAATCGCTTGCCTAATTATGATTTATTTTACATAACATATCTCCAATTATATGTTTATTGGTACTATAGTAGTTGCTGCCTACTTTCTAAATCTAATATCTTCTCACATGTATTGCATTACTATTATATAATTATTAAAATTCTTAAACATCAGAGTCAATATTTTATTAAATAATTATGACATGTACCAGTAATTTAACTTGTTTTTATTCCATAAAACACGTTATACAAATTAAATTAAACTTATACATCAAACACCATGGTCGGCTATTCAAAAAGAAAAGTATCGCAGTGAGTTCCACGTGTACTATTAATTTATCGACTATTTTATATTAACTTTTAGCCTAATTTTATATTAATTTATTAACTAATTTCATATATTTGGGACTATTATTTGACTTATATGTAAATTGGGTGTCACATGTGTTTTCACTGTGGAGTGAGTGGGCATGGTTTGCTTTGAATTTTAAATTGTGAAAAAAGAAAAATGGCTTATCTAAAGAAACAGTACTCAGTTTGTTAGGTTTATTTTGTAAAAGATTGAGTGACTTGTAATGGTGCTTCTCCCACTAAATCTAACTCTCTAAGTGCCACTTCTTTCCCATTGCTTATCCATAAAATCTCAGCTTCGTTTTCAAGCAGCTCTTTCATCTTCCTAGGTCTGCCTTGCACCATATTTTCATTCACAAAATCATTATCTTATTATATATTTTATTTTTAAAATATTATAAACACTAAAGTTTTTTAATTAAATTATAAAATTTTTTATTCTTTAAAGTTTATGAAAGTTAAGGAAAATATTCTTTTCATTAAATGATATGTATAGTCTGTCCAGAACTGCTTTTCTTTTTTTATAAAATATAAACATAAAATATTTCATAATTTAATCTAAAAACGAAACATAACTTTATATGATAACTCGATATAACAAACATATTTAGCTTTATTATTCTTAATTTACTTTTTCATTTGTACTAATAAAAAATATGTGTCTACATATACTTTTTTCTTCATGTAATTTAAAATACCACATAAATTAGAAATAATTATTTGAATTGAAAATAAATATTTATGAACTTAAATATAAAATAATAAATTAAATATATTAATAAAAGATTAATTTAATAATCTATATTAAAATCTTAGTTACAAAATCGTTATAAACTGAATCTCCTTTATTAATATAGTAGGAAAAACATGTGTTTTACCTTTTCTTTACGATAATAAAAACTAATAGAATTTTTCTTGTTGTTATTATTGTAATTATAAAATAAAATAAAATATAAATAATTTTCATAATTTTATTGTAAATATTTTTATTTATTTTGAAGATATTTTTTAATTAAAAGAATTATTAAATTAAAAAAAACAGTTAAATTGAAAAACACAATTAAACTTAAAAAATGTCTTTCAAATAATAAAATTGATAAAGTAATCATTTTAATTTGAAAAAAAATTATTTAAAAGATAAAATTGAAAAAAAATGTGAATACTAAATAGAAGAATTCCTTTTATATATATAATATGATGTATTTTTAAATTAATATACATTTTATACCATTTAATCAATTTAAACAATTACCCAATTTATTTAATTTTAATGGTTTTGATATTGGAACAAATCATTGAGCGTAATGAACGTAACTTTTGTGAATGAAAGACATGAACTAGTTTTTTCTTTCATTAATTTGCATGAGTTGACATTGACTTAATGATGTGAAAACAATGAGAACAATACAAGAGAAATAAAAGGGCTTCTACTAATATTTTCATAATCCATTCATGCATTCACACCATGAAAATAATGTTTTATAATAACATAAATAAATAAATAAATAAATAATAACAAGTAATGAATTAATTTTGTGGGGGTGATGGGCCCTTGCTTTCAAGTATCTATCACATGAGTTACATTATTATTGAGGGGTATTTCCCTGTTTTGTTAGACCATGCTAACTTGAATTTTGTAGGGTTTTGCATTTTTGTAGGTAATAATGCTTTAGTGATCTCAGCATGGTCATTTCTCACAATGAATTTACTCCCTGCTAAAAGCCCTAATTACATAACTTATGTTATTAAAAAAAATTAAGACATGTTTATTTTTCAGTTATCATAGAAAAACTTAATTTGTCACAACATAAGTCTTGAGTTAAACTTAATTTGTCACAACATAATTCATTAGTCTCTTTGATCATTGTTTTATTTGCTTCTTGATACTAAACCATCTCATAGTTATTAAGATACTAAACCATCTCATACATACAATATGCTTATGTTTTTTTATTTCGATTTTAAAACAAAAGTTTATATTTATATTTGTCTCAATACCAATACCAATACCTTTTTTATTAAATGTTGACTATGATTGCACCACGCATCTATTTATTACATGATTTTCAAAAAAATAAATTGAAAAAGTTATAATTTTATCAATTATTATTCAATACTAAAAAAATATATTAATACTTAATTAAAAGTAGACGTTTTCTTCTCTTTTATGTAATTGATTAATAAAAAAATATATATTTCAAAACAATCAAATAAATTAAAATATATTAGTAAGTTAAAGTGATGACAAATCCAAAAATAATCATATACATTCAAATGTTGTCCATTACTTGATTTAAATGGAGAAGAAATCAAATTTTATTTATTTGATATTCAACTAACATTAGGACAAATTCATAAAAAAGAAGTTTGATTCTGATAATTTTCTCTTTATAGCGGTTTAATGGAAAAAAAATAGAGGTACAAAATGTTTAAATTACAATATACACAAACACATTAAGAAAATAATGAAGCATGCTCCACATCAATTTTGATGGATCATAATTTTAATCCTTTAATTAATGTATTAACTAATTTAAATGATTTGAAATGATCATGAGTTAAATTTTGAGTTTGAAATGATGAATTGACTTCAAAACTCTGACCCAAGTTCTAGATCATCTTGCAAAAAGTAAAGTCTTATTCAAATTTTATTTTTTGCCTCACATGACGGAGAAAAGTGCAAACTTTGGACTCACTCTTCAAAATCCCTCTCACTATTACTTAATCAAAGTAGAAACTATCTTTAAATTTAGTTATAATTTTTGAAAAAAGAATACAAATATATATACTTATTAATCATTTTACGTACATACTTGTAATGATGATAAAGTGGGATGCAAAAAAATGTGGGATGGGCTTAGATTTCAAGCCTGCCAGCCTATATAGGTTCACGCAGCAGGGTGTACCAGGCTAGTTGTTGACCTGCATAAAGAAAAAAACTTACATTTGTGTATGATAGTTACTTTTCTTATGGACTTCTAAATGAAAATTCCAAATTATTGTATGGGTGCAAAAGATTAGTGTTATATATCTTTGAATTGTTTTTAAATCTCAAGAATTCATCATTCATATATGAATATGATTAAAATATTGCATTATCAATTTATCATTTAGCTTTCCAAAGTCTCTACTTAAATTTGGTGAACATGTTAAAGTTCCCCTGTTTGTAGGACATTGAAGTTTTTATCATAGGAAATTAAAGAAAAAAAAGGGTTAATTTGCATGTCAAGACCTACACAGGGCGGACGAGTCTATTGAGCCCGCATTTTCAAAGTAGGGGTGAGGTAACCTAGAACACATTTTAAGGGCCAAGTGTAGGGCGAGCCTAAATGTGTTGGGTCGACTTGTATTATTACCCTTACATACTTCGCACAAACAGTTAAGGCCTAAGGTTAATTTACATAAAGGGTTCTGACCACTTTTTATGGAGTTTGGACTATTCTAGCCAAGACCAAGCTCGTTTAAATATATTATCAGTTTTTAGGAGACTCTCACGATTCCCAACTAGTACCGCAAGAATGTGTTACAAATCTCTCATACCACTTTCAATTGGATGACTCTGACAATAACATTCATAACCATAGACATCTTACCCACTAAGAGAAGCTAGATTGGTTCGTCCTCCTTTTTCTACATTATGCATAACTCTTTCGATTAGGATTATCCTCACCACTATTAAAGCCTTTAAACGAGGACCAAGCTTAATACGTGCTTGTCGAGATGTAAAACAAAATTTGTAAAATGCACTTGAGAGCTTAGTGCATGGCAGCACAGATGCACTAGGTCAGGTATTACTAGCTAACTATGAAGAAAGACATTCATGCATTCATAAACAAATGTCATGAGTGTCAGAAGTTTGGCCAATGCACACTTTGTCGCCTAAGCAACTTCACATTAGGACTCCATTGCCTTTCATCACACG